AAACCCTGGCTACACCTCTATCCTGGTTCTGATAAAGTATCAGCCTCCATCTGTGTAGCTGTGTTAGCTTGAAGTTCGATTTGACCCTGTTTTTCACCTCAACCGTATCGTGGAATAGTATATTGATGATGCACAAACTAATAAATACATCGAGTTGTTTACGGCGACATAATGGCGCTCTGAATTTTCAATGTAACAATGGGCAATTCCAGCTATAGACTAAATTTTGATCTAGGGCCTAAGAAGAACAAATCCATCACCACAGCTAGAAAGACCATGTTAAAATTACTAAAATTGCAAAGTTTGGTTGCTAAATGTTGTCAGTAAAATGAGGAAAATAGCCCTACGAAATTTTCAAATTTTGTATTAAGGGACTGTTCATTATTTATACCTCGGGTTGGTACCGAAGAGAAGCGAAAAACACTGTAAATTTTTTAGTTACCCAACCTCAACAATGGTCAAAATAATGTTTACCCAACCCATGTGTTACTGTCATAATAATTAAACACACAAGATTATGGTGACAGAAATATTAAGTTGCCTAAATTGTAAAACCTCACTCACACTCAAACTCACTGAGTGTGCCAAAGCAATCACGTTTCTGCTGATATGATAGGATCCTTCCTCAATCACTGCATGATCGTCTATTTTGGTACAGAAAGTATTGTACACATTTTTCTTCATATTTTCCAATGCATGGTAGTTTTGGTCTTATTTTATATTATAACTGACAAACAGCCATAATTTTTTGTTACCCAACGCATGAGCTAGTCAAAAACTTGATTACCCAACCCATATCTCTTCGGTACCAACCCCAGGTATAAATAATGAACGGTCCCTAAGGCCAAGTAAAAAAAACAAACTTGGTTAGCGTCACCGCCCGCCTCTCGATTTCTGCCGCCTCTGAATTTTTTTTATTTAAAACAGTTTAATATTTGAAATTTTTCTCATGCTCAGACCTTCGCGGTATAATACCTATAGGCCTATATACTGATCGATAGGAGCGCGTGGGCTTGGGTATACAAGGTTAATTCTTATAGCAAAATGGCGGTCTTCGCAACATCAGTACAAAAAATATCACCGATATGGTGGAAAACCGCCCCATCCCCCCAAAAAATACTATTAAAAAATTAAAAAACGAGTAAAAATTAAAAAAAAACCTCCCGCCTCTGAAAATTTGTGAGAGTGTGACGCTAACCAAGTATTTTTTTTTTATTTGGCCTAATTTGTATTACGCACGGGAATTTGCACCACTTTCGACCCAAATGTGGTGTATTTTCCCGTGCGTAATACTAATAGTTACCGGCCAAACTTTGCAATTTTACTAATTTTAACATGCTCTTTCTTAGCTGTGGTGATGGATTTCAGTCTTCTTGCCTAGATAAAAATTTAGTCTATAGCTGGAATTGCCCATTATACATTAAGAAATTTGATTTTTTTCTCATATTTCTTGTGGGTCGAAATTTGATTTACTGTAATGCATAGAATCACTTCCAAATGGTTTGCAGCTAGGGGCGCTGGAAGCAACGTGAAGTGGCCCAATTTTTGACCCGAAATTGCTTGAAAACAGTTCAAAATTTCAATTCATGTGAATAAAACACGACTCTTTCAAAGTGCAGTTCTTGTAAAAAGTACCCCGCTTCTGGCGTAGGCTCAGATTCCAGCCGTTGTGTTCTCGAACACAACCACAGAAGAGATAAGGGCAGAAGGTTCACTCAAGGGTAGAATGTGTGCCAGAATGTGAGCCGACTTCCGGTGTGGCCGCCATGTTGAAAGCAACCAAACCAGAGGAAATTTTATAGGAGTTAATATGGCGGAATACGAAATAGAGCCACTAAAAGTGCTCTAGCTTTTTATGTATCCAAGCAAAACTCATGATACTTTGAAATATCATAAAGAAGAGGTTGTTCTTTGATTTAATTGTCACTACGAGGATGAGAAACGAATTTAAGCGTGGAATTTGGCCATTGTCATACATCGATTAATTTCACCTCGGTCTTTGGCGAATAGTGATAAACATATAAAGTTATATAGCTTATGTGTGGTTAGTCCGATCGCCGTAAAATATGTTTTGAGTGATAAGTTGGTGATATTTCATGGTGTACAAAAAGATTAAGGACGTGAATGCCATAACAATGAAGGAAATAAATCCAGTTCATCGGACCTTCAGTGAATCTGTGATCAACTATTCAATACAGTGTAATTCAACTTGCCATATTGGCCTGCAATCGTATAAAATAATATTGCGATATGAAAGAAATTGCTAGACCTACTTCTTCTTCTAAAATAAATTTTAGGGATAATATATTGACTTGAACCTATTAAAATCCTTTAGCTGTAACTTTACAAATTTGGTATCACAAGTGTGTCAAGTCACAACTGACAA